TAATTATGTCCCCACTGGATGCAACAAATGCCTCGTTTATAATGGGTTTTTAATGTTTTTGTCGGCCAGGACACGGCATCAACAGTATGTGAGGGGCGTAACATTTCCGTCTCATGCTTGAGGTATTCGGCCAATCACAACGCATTAGATATCTGGCCAATCATAGCACACCTCGCTTTTTCAGACCGATGAGCTTTGTAAAAATCGACGCGTTTCAGAAAGGCGGGGCATAGAGGAGAAACAATAATGTACAGTATGTGGAAAATAATGTGTTTTTTTAACTTTAAACCGCATAAACACATTTCATTACACCAAATACACAAAATAATGTTCTTTTTAGCAGCATCATATGACCCCTTTAAACTAAATCAAATAACTCAGCATAAGCAAAGGCAGATGCATTCTAAAAGGCCTGGTTCACCCAAAATGTAATTTACATTGTACTAAAAAAAGGAAGCTTTCTATTTACTAAAGGAGACATTTAGCATAAATTTAAAAGCAATGAGGATGGATGCTGTCAATCTCCAAAAAATGACAAAAAAAATACTCATTTGGATGTTTGCATATTCAAACTACCACATCACAACCAGTTATGACACACATGACAACCAATGTTGTTTGGCATCACTGGTGTCAGACCTGCTGTAACAGGTTTTTGCATGCAATATTATATTATACATATATGTAAATGAGATTTCAAAACTGTAGACAGGGTTTTAGCGATTAATTACTTACATTTCAGTCTGTCCTTCACACAGAAAAACCAATCAAAAAATTGAAGGTGTCACATATAGAATTGCAAACCTTTGAACTACTTTTTTTATGCTTTTTTTGGTTATTTTTACAGCTTGACAGCCCATTCAGTTTAAAACGGATTGCCTTAAACCAATTAAAATAAAAAATAAAAAATATATATTTTTTTTGAGTACTGTAACTTTATTCATTTGAGTTTACAAAAAAAAAAAAAATATTTTCCTAATATTAAATAACTATAAACACTACTGAAATACACTGTGCAGCTTAAACTTAACCATATTAAATAAAAAATACAATTCTAAAGATCAAATTAACTAAAATTTTTATTGCTTTTCAAATAAAGCAGCATGCAGCATTTATAGTCTTGGTAAATTTCACAAATTTTACAGTGTATGAAAATACACTGTAAACATACCTTTTACATTCCACAGAAGTTTAATGTGAATTAATCTAATACTATTACATTAAATAATTTTCTGGTGCTACAGCACAATGAATACAGCAGGCATAAGACCTCTTAGTTGAAGCAGGCCATCATAAGACAGGCTTGATGGCACATGTCCAATAATCTCTTTGGCTGATAGTTCAGTACGAGAGCTGATGATATCGCGGTATGTTGATCATCAGCTCTCATGCTCTCATCACCCAATGGTAGAGTGAATGCCTAAGTCCTATTAACACACTATTGCCTGATTCTGAATTTCAATCTTATGTGCTACTCTATGTTGGTTGGATGCTGGTTGTCTGTTTTTCTTGGTATAACAACGAATACTCTGTTGCTGTGGTTGTTAGCCCAGCTTAATTTGTAAAAATATCATCATTTAAAACCAAAAGCTGTTCTGTAGACCTACTAGCCTGCCATTATAGTTATAATAATAGCAGTAACGCTAATTTCTTATTGGCAAAGAAACACTATGTGTTGGAATAGGTTGGATAGAGTCATCCAGAGTAACTACAAATGAGATATTTACGAGGTGATTTAAGATCCAGTCGCACCCAAGATACCAATTGAGTACACTGTGTCCACAGAAACACGGGCATCGCTATGGAAATGTAGGAGGGACTCGTTCTGAGCAACGAATGCATACATTGAAACAGAATAAGTACACTTAGTTTGAATCTCCATGAGATACAAATGGATTTTGTGCATCCAGGGCAAAACCCTGCATGCAGGAAGTGCTGAATTTGATAAAGATGCATTTGACGCAGGATTTGTCATCTAAAAGCTTTTAAAAGTTTTGTATTTCTAATAATACATATAAACTAATCGCAATAAAAATATGTTTTATTTCATAATAAAATAAAAATATGTAATAATATTATGAATAATAATGAATAACTGGCTGACGAACGTTGTGCTATTATTTTCAGGGAAACGCATGGCTAAAGTTCCAGGCAGGTCTTGACCGTGCTACATGTCTATATCACTCCACCAAATGATTTCAGTTATTTCAAAGGTCCTTACAGCCTACAACAGCAAAAGAACCAAACCCCACAAATACACTGACCAAGCAAATAAATATAGTTAACAACAATATAAAAATGACAAATTATTTCCATGTTCTCTTTCTCCCGCTCTCTCTCTCATACAAACACACACAAGTAACAGTAAGGACACACACTCGCATACACAGAAACACACATGCGCACAGAAATTTGTTTTATTTTTATTAGTAGAGATGCTGCTGCTGAACATTATTGAGAGACGCACAGACACAAAGAGGTAATTCACACGTTTAATCTCTCTCTCTCTCTCTCTCTCTCTCTGTAATAACAAAATTAATAAATGCATTAGTCGCCTATCAATGGTTTAAGCCTCCCATGGCCGTAGCCAGTTATGAGGTCACTGAGGTGACCTCATGAGGAAAAACTAAAATTTGTTCTCTGAATGAGTAATTTGCTGTTTAAAATTCCTCATATGAGTGTCTGCATGTATAATTAAGTTTAGACAGTTTGCAAGAATGTTTAGCATCCATGGTATGAAAATGATGGCTGTGAGACGTTGGCAGAGTGAAGTTGTGAGTGAGGGCATAGCCTCCACCGTGTTGCCAGATCCTGCTATTATAAGCGTCTTTGGACTTGTCTTTTCCAGTTAATTTGACACTTTAGAAAGTTAATAAAGTGGGAAGTAGCAGTTTAGGGTTAGTGATATCTTTATCTTATCTTATTTGCAAAAGATTTGAACTAATTGACCCTTCAGAGAAAGTTTAATTGACAGGCGATCTGACCACTCCTAACGCCGAATCTGCCAAACAAACAAACAAGACTGGAGAGTAGATTAAAGGTGCACTAAGCAATATTTGAAAAACGCTTTTGACCACAGTATCGGACCGAGTCACAAAACACACTCGCTGACAATCAGCAGTAAGGGGCGTGTCTAGTAATGATAGAGAGAAGAGAGCGCTCAGAGATCGACTATAGATAGCGAGAGATGGCAGATAAAAAAAGAGGAAAATTTTGGAGAAGCAAAACATTAAAAGAAGGGTTACGATCAGGCAAGAGTTAGGACCCACGTAAATAATGGAGCAGCTTTCCAGTGGTGGAGAGAACTCAAGGAGCGGGAAGGCCTGGAATCAATGGCAAGTTTGCTTTGTTTCTTCTTGATAAGTGAGATACGTTGATTTTTATGTTGAATTACCATAGTAACACACATCGCTTTCACTTATTGATGACATCATACCCTCGGTCGGCAGGCATAGCAGATTCCGCCATCATCGCTGCCAGGGTTGTGTTCATACGTGTGGGGCGGAGTTATCAAAATAGGGGCGAGGTCCTGTTGGGGTATGGGCGTGTTTGTTTTGGTGCTTTCAAATATCAATATCGTTTGGCAAAATTCGCTTAGTGCACCTTTAAAGGTGCTGTATGTAGGATTGACACCGAGTGGTTGAACTAGGTATTGCAGTCCAAATTCTAAATATTGGAGAGGGTTTTTTTCACCCGGTCCCTCCTCCTCAGATTTGATGCACACACAGGCTGCCAGATTGACGACACCAACACTTTTGTTTGCCAGCTTCCATGACTGAAATGAAATGCGCTGTGTTTCCCGCCAACTGGCAACAGGGGTGCCGAAATACAATTGGGTAAACTGGCAGTGGGCGGGTTTCACAAACCAAAACAGAGACCGACATTCTGGCCCGGAACGCACATTTTCAAAGGAGAATAACTGACTGTAGCATTGTTTTTCAGATAAACAAATATGTTAACTTAGCATGTTTCTTAAATATCTGCAAACATATTATAGTATTTTTATGCTTTAGTAGAGTCAAAAACTTACACACAGCACCTTTAACGTTGGTGGACTTGAACTTGAAAAACAGTGTGTATTGACATCTTTCTGCGTTGAATCAAGATACCCTTTGATGTTCATTGTTTATTTCATGCTATAACTAGTAAAGAGGAAGAGATGGAAGAGATCGGTTCACATGCCGCTTGAAATGAGGCGAGAAATTAGACTTTGTTTCATACCTAAAGTAACCTGCTCTGTCTTGTCTGTTGGCGCATTGCCAGTGTCCTCTTTGCTCCGCAAAGTATTTTTCAGGTTATGAAGCCTCCGTTGCTAGGTCTAAAATGATGTTTTGGAACTAACAACGGAGGCGTGGGATGAGATGCGTAAGAAATTAGTCCTACACGCAAGAGTGTTTTAAAGACAAAAACCTGACGACTATCTTGAAATACAACATCTGAACAATGTTTAGAGGTGTGGTAACCGTAGTATAAGTGGAATAATTGACAACGGGCCGTTGAATTATTAGAAAATAATGCACACCCAAGGTTATTTTCTAATAATTCAATGGGCATTCTAGACATTGTTCAGATGTTGTATTTCAAGATAGTACTCAGGTTTTTGTCCGTAAAACGCTCATTTGTCTAAAATGCTCAATTATTCCTTACTGATAAAACTGATATTAAGTGAACTATGTAATTAACATTTTGAAGTTTGTTTACTGCTGCTGTACCTTATCCAAATCAAAATGTTCAGCTGAAAATATAAAGCTAAAACTTAAAAGTACCAAAGTGAATGTATGTTAGTGTGTTTGCACGTGTGTCTTACTTGCAGATGGCACAGACAAAGCAGCGTGGATGGTATGTCTTGCCCAAGGCGGACACAACTTCCCCTTCAATGAACTCTTCACAACTGAAGCAGCGGGTGCCATAGAGTCGCTGATAATCCAGAGTGCAGATATAATCCCCCTGACGCACAAAAAATCCTCCCTGAGCCAAGTCACATCCACAAACTGCAGAAAAAAAGAGAGACAGTTAAATCTTAAAAATCTGCGGCAAGGCAGGATTTGCACTTAACTGGTTTGAGGAACAAATGTGCATATTACATCCCTAGTTGTCAATAAAAATCCATTATGACTACACAAATCATGCGTTTGGGTGTGTGTCCATTTGTTTATGTGAGCAGAGTAATTGTTGTGTTTCTAATCAGCACACCATGACATCATCCAGGCACATGGAGACTGGAGACCGGGCAGGTGCATGAGTGGGGAGGACAAAACAAAATGAAACACAACCTTCCCTTAATTTTCCCCTCTCCCTCATTGACTCCCTCCATCTCTCCCCACTCTCTCTTTCCTTTTCTCACAGTCCTTTTTCCACTAAAACAGGAACCACATCAGGAACATAATACACACAGACACGCTCCGATGACATCATTCTCAGGGCCGATCCATTTTCCACCTCCTCTGAGGTAAATGATAACTGTGGAATTTCCTTCTCTACCATGGCTTTTCTTTCTGTCTGTCCAAAGCTGAGATATCTCATTCTGAATAATAGACAAAAACAAGTGCACCTCTTTCTTCAGTCCTTGTATTTGTCTGCTAGTATAATTTTAACAGTAAAACACTCTAAAATGCTATTGTAAAAAAAAAAAACTGTTAATTGGTTAACATTAAGTTTCCTTACTATATAGCATAAAAAAACGGTAATAAATCTAATGGGACATTTCATGTAATTTTCCAGTAAAATAATGTACAGGGTTTTTTTGGAAGTGGAAAAGAAGAAGTCATTTTATAATTTACAGTGAAAAACAGTAAATTGACATTCCCAGAATTCCCTGTGTGACAAGCCACATTTTATGGTTTTCCCATTTACATTTTTTTAATCATTTATGTACCTTAGGGCTGTAAGTTACATCTTATGTTGATAAAGTTTATTGCATTATTTAGTGTCACGTTTGTTACCATAATGTTGTTTTTTATTTGTGTGCACCTTCTATATCTTAGTTTTTTACAGCAAATTTAAAATCAAGTTGCTACTGTATTTTTTACAGTAAAATTCTGGCAACCACAGCTGAAGTTTTTTTAACGTGTTTGTGTAACAAATAAATACAAAATAAAATTTGCCCTGTAAAATCCAAATATAAATAGCTGTAACATTTTTTTTCAGTACAGAAGGAAACGCTGTCAATTCAAATTCAAAAGCAAATCTGGACTATGCTATCCACATTCATTGTATTGCTCTATATTCTTACCGTATGGCAACAATTGCCTCATTTTTGTCTGTTTATTTATAGTGAATAAAAGGAGAAACATTTTAAAATAAGTTGAAAAATAGAAAACGTTTGGCTCTAAAAAAGCAACTTCTGAGCAGTAAAATTGTTACAATCCCAGTAATATATAGTATGCATCCTATTCTCCCTGAGCACCTGACAGTAATCCACCTGTTTCTGTGAGATCCCATCTTAAATGACCGCACTTGGCTGTTACATAATAAGCTTAACAGCTTTAGCACTCAGAAAACAGGCCCTCTCTCTTGCTCTCGTTCACACACACCCAAATGCACACATATACTAATACATGTACTAATTCCCGTGTTAGAAAAACACAATGCATTCTAGTAATGTTTCCACTCGTAGTAAAAATCCAAACAATAACACAGGAATGTTGCTCAGGAAATGGCAGACATATTTTCCACAGCTGCTGAAGAGTGATTGGTTGGTGACCGTGATGTGGAAGGTTAGCTAGGTTATAGGCATATGTGGTGTGACAATGTGTGAATTCTGTTCCAAATTAATTAAAACTTCCTCCAAAAAGCACAAACTGTCTTAAAGAGAACCAGTAAGGTAAGAGGGCAGCACATACCCAGACCAAGACTAAAAACTGAACGTGTCATTTCATCAAGCAAAATGGGTTTTAACAGAAGCCATATGAATTTGACCAATGATAGACATACTGTAACGTGGCTGACGAGACGTGAGACGTGCGGATCCATGTGCAAGCTTTATTCACAGGCGTGGTCAGAAACAGGCATGGGTCAGACAACGGCAAACAGGAATATGGTGGACAAGACACAAGAATAATCCTAGGGCTAGCGAAGGTCAACGAACGGCGAACAGAATCAAAAGGGCGAGACTAAAGGGATAAATCCAGGAAACCAGGCAAGGATCAGAAACCGAGAAAACAGACAAGGCAAGACTAGGCTAAGGCAGGGTAAACTAACGAGGGCTCTGTAGTGTAGCTATCAAATGATAAGCGCTAAACAATACTCGGCACCGGGAAGGGATCAGAGTGAGTGTTAAATAGTGAGTGAGTGATATGAAACAGCTGTGTGCAATCAGTGCTGTGTGCAATCAGTGCAATGAATGATGGGATATGTAGTCCGAGGTGATATGCAACAGTGTGTAGTGCGAGAGTCAATGAAAATGGAAAGGGTGACCTCTGATGGCTAGCAGACGGAAGTTCATGGACCGGATACGTAACACATACATCTTATTAAACAATTTGCCAAACATTGGTTAAATTATCCTAGTCAGTTTCATAAGATACTTCTAAAAGATTATAGGCTGCTTCGAGCTATTTAGATTTTTTTTGTTTGATTTTTGTGCAGTGAAATTTGAACCATTTTTAAGATAGGAGTTTTCTAACTTTTTGATGCCAGGGACCCTAAATATGGTGATGCCCTTGAGAGCGACCCCCTTCCTAAAATTTAAAAGTCACTATAGCTAAATGTTCATTATACTTTGTAAGAAAAACAATAAGTGTATTATATAAGGACAAGTTTGGTGACAGGTTTCAAAATTAAATAATTATACATAATTAAATTAGGTTAGTGACATTCGCAAAATATTGTCAAGAAAAAAAAAGAATGATTGCTAAAATATTATAAATAAAATATTTTCTTCGAATTAAGATGACAGTTGACATCATTTTTACTCTCTTTTGTATAAACATAACTAAAAAAAGATTTTTCAGTTACTCGTAGGGCTGTCAATATAGTAAAATAGTTGTGATTGTGATAAATCTAATGATTTATTACCAATTTTTAGAAAGGAGTATGAAGTTATAATATCACATGTGTGCTAAATTATTGCATTAAACATTGATTATCTTAATTCATTAACTCTGACAGCCTTAAAAATACTTCTCAGTGAAAAAATTTTGTGGATCCCCAAGCTGGACCCTGGACCCCAGTTTGAAAACCACTGGTCTAAGCACACTTTTGCCCATCAAGTACTGAAGAATGTAACCCAAACCCCGCAATGAAAAGAAGTCCTCAACACTGGGCACCACAGGGTGTGTCTTTCACCCTGCCGGTATATTTAGATCAGCTGCAGACAGAAAACAACACCTGAATAAGAGGAGCAAGGAATGTGAGCAATGCTGCTCTCATGATCAAACACATGCAGCAATCCTTCCTCAACTGAAAGTTTGCAAGTTATAATGTTAGTTATCATTTTGAAATCCAGAAGATGTTTTCATCCAAAACAGCAAATACCAGAACAATTCCAGGAACAGCCCTCCCTGGGGTTAAGTGCTCCAGATGGACACCCCATCAGCAAATTGGGAATGAACATTTTGGGTGCTTAAACTCCCAAGAATGTCACACCTGCCATATGATGAATGAAGAGTGGGAAGTTTATTGATGCGGAAAGTCTGATTTTGGCTTACAAAAGAGCAGATGAATTAGAGAACATAAAAAAACAGCACAGCTAAGGAGGTTATACAAGCAGCACTAAAAAGAGGATGGGTTGGGCTAGGAGAAATGGAACATGGAAAAATGATGGTGGAGGAAGATAAGCAGACTATAGAATAGAGCAGGAGTGCAAACAAGAGAAATAGGGATGGTGAACAGAGTAAGGGAACATGGACACCTGAGCATATTAATATTGTACTCGAAATCTCTGCATCGACATTCTCGCATGTCTGACTGTCAGAAACTTAAACTTTGCAATGCAACAAGACAAGAGCAAGTAAACAAGATTATAAAAACGTGTTACACTGAGGCTAGTGGCGAAAGCAATTCCTTTACACATTCCTCACTTGAGGCACTGTAAACCTAAGGTATACCTTGGACCTAAGGGATACTTTTTGGAACAATCTAGGAAGCTATCGGTGAAAGGTCAATGAGAAACTACAGGGTTAAATCTCTTTCCTCAAGGCCAAGGAATTGCGAAAGCTAGCACCAATGACATGTAATTGGCAGGACTCACATCAACAGAGGGAAGCGTTTTATTCCTGTAGGGTAATATAACCCTTCTACACACTGTCTAAGCCAACGCTAGCTAGCTCTAGTGTTCCAGCTGAATTCTCTGGCAATCTAAAATGGCATTGGATTGCATGCTTTCATGGAGTTGGCTGGCTGGAGAGGGTCTGCTGTTCCTCTACATGAGAGGGGTTGTATTTTCACATCATGAGGTCAAACTTTCAGTAACAATCCAGCAGACATGCTCCTGATGTCATATCTGCCTTAGAAAAAAACTAGAACGAAAGTTGAACATGTCATACTGAGTACTCTTTAGAGACATTCCATGAGATCACATAGATGGCAGCAGCTTAAACAAAGCAAAAACTCAGTTTACATACAGTTGCTTCCTTTATACATTGCAGTGCAATTACCTCACATTTTCATTAATATAAATTAGGCCATTTTCAACAAAAATTAAAATCAGTGTGGTGCCGGCGGAGCTAACCACCAGGGTGGAGCTGAAGACCACTGGGGATCAGGAGACCACCACAGCAAAGCCGGCTGAGATCGTGACCACAGCAGAACAGAAGACCACCATGGCCGAGCCTGAGAACACCAGGGGGGCACCAGAGGAGGAGACCTAGGCTGCGCCGACTGAACAGGGGACCTCCAGGGTGGAACAGAAGACCGCTGGGGATCTGGAGGCCACGACAGAGCAGATGACCAGCAGGTAACTCAAGGCGTTCAGGGAAGGCCCACCTAGCAGTAAAGGAGCAGTCGGAGGAGTCAGAGATGGCCCTACTGGTGAAGGGAAACTCTGAGGAGT